CCTCCATGCTTAGGTCTTTTAAGTGGGTTTTTGGGCTTACTTTGACATACCATAACTCTGTTTTTCATTGGTTAAATCATGCCATGTTTGGTTTTGATAGGTGTAGTGTATCACTCCTTTTGTAGCCTTGCATGCCTCATGCTTTTGGTGTTGAGTTTTAACTTGTGTTGGCTAGTTTCGAGCATGTTTTCGGTATTGTATTGACCTGTCTTGGGACTTTTCTGATAGCCCTTGGCCCTTTGGGGCTTGCCTCGCATGGCCATGGTTTAAGTCCCTTGGCTAGTTTCAAGTTTTGGACCATCTTGCATGATTTGCTTGTCTTGCTTGATTGGTTGGCACCTTTCCATGCATGATTTCAGAGTTTACCATGTTTGTCACATGTTCATATTTGTCCCCTTTTAAGTGTTCTTGAAAGTTGCCCTCCCATGCTTAGGTGATAGGCCATCACATGTACATGTTTGTATGTGCTTTTGTCAATCATTTCTTAGCATTTTGGCCACTGATTTGGGCATGTTTGAGAGTTGTCCACTTTAGTTTAAGTCCTTCTTTGCATGTTGTTGCATGCTTGCTTCATTTTGCATATTGTTGCATGCCATCCATGTTTACATGTTAGGTTGTATGCCTATTGCATATTAGATGCATTGCATGATCTTGTTGCATACTCGTCGCATGCTTGAGTTGTTCGCATCATGCTTGCATGTTTTCATTGCATTGTGTGTGCATCCCTTGCCTCTTGATCAAGCATGATAGAGGTTGAGGCCCCTTATGTGTTTTGTGCATTTCATTTGATATTGAATTGCACACTTGGCTCCTTTGGCCATCATGCATTGGAATGCGTGATTGGTGGCCCAAGGGTCGAGAACTGCACTCCTTTGAGTCTCAAACATGATAAGGGGTGTAGTTGCAAACATTGTCTTGTAAATGTATTGCCATGCTCTGTTTGTCCTCTGCTACAGCAAAAGAAGCATTTTACATGAAGGGATGGCCGATCGACCATTTTCAGTGCCGATCCACTAACAATGTCTGGCCGAGAGCCTTATTTTTGGTCGATGGCCTTCATATCTTGGTCGATGGCCTTCATATCTTGGCCGATGGCCCCATCTTTGGACCGATGACCTCTCAGAGTGATCGTGAAGTGGTTCCGGGGCATCATAGAGACTTGTGCAGTTTTCAAAAGTGCAAAACAGTGCAAACAGATGCAACATGTGGCATGGCAACGGATTTCTGAGCGATGCCGAACAAGCATGCATTTGTCCATCTTCCTGAGGTTGCTTTACTGTTTTCATAGCTTAATTAATTTGTTTAATTAATTAAGGATTTTTGTGTAATAATTAATTAGCTTGTAAGTTAGTTAATTAGTTGATTTGTATTATTCTTTCGGACCCTCCGTCGAGAGGGCGAATTGTTATAATAAGCGTGCGTGTGTGCGATGCATGTCTTCCAACCCCACTTCTTTCTTCCTTTTACTTAACCACTTACGATGGTTAGTTTTAGGGCATATTTCATTTAGCATACCTTATGCTCACATGCGTGCATCCATTCATCTGTATTGCATGCACCGGGCTCGGCGCATCATACTAACTGCATTGTATTCAATTCCAAGTTGAATACATGTATCGAATTGTTGCATCTCATAAGCCATCTTAGAAAAGCCGAGCCTATTTCTAGTTGCATCTTTGCATGTGTTGCATTAGCCATCTTAACATGAACTAGGATCACGCATGGTTTCTAACTAGTTCTTTGTTTTGGTTCGGAGTACACTGTGAGTGTTTACGCTTTAGCATAATGCATGTGTATATGTTGCCATGATAGCATGTCTGCCATGAGACTATTTGCTTATGTGATATAACTGTCTGAATACCTGTGGGTGAATGTTGGATTACCTGAATTGGAACAATTCATCGAAATCCTTACTTTAGCCTACTTACGAGTAGCAAACTTCGAATCATTTTCACAAACGAATATGCAATGCTTTGTTCCAACTTAAGCGATCTAGTCTATACTTGTTTGTCGTGCGCATAACATAGTAATTCTAGGTTAATAACCGGAATAAGAACACATGTGTTTTCAAAAACAAGATATCATGCTTAGTACAGGCCGATCTTTGATCGGGCGAGCGGGGGTGCTCACTGCATGATCTTCCCCAATTGTACTCAAGTTCCCGAGCTGAGGCAACTTTGGTGATGACAAACATGTGGTCTTAGGCACGAGTCAGGGTTTCCTAAATTTCCCTAAAAATAAAATATTTAGGCGGCGACTCTGTATCTGACAAAACAGTCCATGTTTGGCACTTTTTTACAAAAATCAATTTTCCAAAACGATTTGCTGGATTTGGACTCTTTGGTGATTTATCGATCTTGCATTGCACTTTGCGAGATCAGATTCAGAACCGTGACATTTGAGTCCGAACTGTAGTATGCTAGAGAACAAACGAGATTTCGTGCCTTCGCAAAAGCGCGGAGCTTCGGGAGTCCTCGGGGCACGTCTACAGGAAAGAGGTGAGGTAGTGGTCGAAACGGAAGCGGAAGCTATGGTGGGAAGAAGTTGTCATCATCAGCAGTATATACAGTCATTGTCATAGCAATGAAGATTGCTAGCACAACCCATAACTGTGTTTCTTTTTGTTGCCGTGCCATTGCAGCAAACCAACAGTGATAAAGTTTTGTTTTGATATCTTCAATATCTCATTGAAGTAAAATTGAACTTCGACAATCACTGCTGGAAAAATAACTTTTAGCGGCGTTTCAAAAACGCCGCTATATGTCTGAAAAACGCCATTAATTCCTTTAGTGACGCTTACTACCAAACGCCGAGGACGCGGCCGTCGCTGTATGTTTACGACGCTTTAAAAGCGTCGTAAAATTAATATAGGCGATGTGGCAGTGACGTCACATAAGCATTTAGCGACGCTTCAAAAACGTCGTAATAGATTTTTTGTTATTTTAAAAATATAACTATAGTGGCGTTTTGAAAAACGCCGCAATAGATTTTTTTTTTTTTTTTGAACTACTAATTTTGTGAGATTTAACTTCAAAAATATACCTGTAAAATAGCAATAATGAATAAAACTTTGTATAGACATATTTATGTGAGATTAATATTCCCTCACATCTATAATAGTACCCCATACAACATCCTTCAAGAAAAAAATCCAATAAGTTTAATTCCAAAAAATAAAATGAGAATAATTTAAAGATAATACACATCAAATATTACCCTTCCTACATAAAGCAAGAACCACCATACTGCTAGAAATTTATTTTTTCACCCCAAGTCATGCACCTATACCACCGCTACTGAAGCATTTGGAATCTCTGCCATAATCATGTGCGCATTTGAAAGACCAGCATCATCACCTTTTGTACAGCCAACCTGCTCACACACACAGAGAGAGAGAGAGAGAGAGAGAGAGAGAGAGGATGAACTTATACTAATGGTAAAACTAGGAGGTTCAATCATGGTAAATCAACAATAAAATTATACTCTCAAAGAGTTTATCTTGCAAAGCATTTTAAGCAAAAAATAATAATTTAATTCTGAAACTAGTTTACTCAAATTGCATTCAATATGCCAGTATCACTTGTGTTCAACTTAAAATCTCAACAACCTGTAGCAGTATTACATTTCATCGTACTAGAAGGTGAGGCACACACTGTGTGCCAAATTAACAAAATATAATATATATATATATATATATAAAGTAGTTGTAACTATTTGTAAGTGGAAAGTCAGGTTTTACTTTTGGAAAATAAAAGTCCACAAAACTTCATGAACACCAAATTGGGTGCTCCCTCTATATATATATATATATATATATATAAGTATATAGCTAACATTTGTTTCTATTTCAACAAGGTACTGCTAAGGACAAAAAAGATATGATGGGACTTAAGGCTTAGTTTGGTTTGGTTTGGTTTATATAAATACTTTACATGGAAGAATTTCTTACTTCACATGGCGACTGCGTTGTCACTTCTTTTAAGGTACTGCTCATATAAGGAATGATACTTTGCAGGGATATAATCCTTGAATCTGTCAACAATGACAACAAAAAGATTGAGATCCAGGAATGCTAAGGCAAGCAGATAAAAGACTTTCCACAAAAAAATCAAATTGATTAAACATCCATTTTTTGTAATATAAATTTGATTTAAACATATAATTATCAATATTTGATTATTTTAATTTTTGTATAAATATTCTACTCAACGAAATCGATTCCAAAACGAACCTATCAAATCTAAACATTCTCATTTGAAATGACCAACATGAGAAAAATTTAATCTTTTCTTTTTTGGTGAAAACTTTTTCCTTCAGATATTACCAACATCGCCACACTATCCCACCACCACCACCACGCCCTTACCATGACTACTACAATTACCAACACATTAGTTACAAGGTGATAATCAATCATATCAAAATATTTTTTGAAAGTTTTTCTCCGAGGCAAATATAAAGTTGTGAAAAATTTACTCCACACCCTCATTTTTTTTTTTGGTAAAAAAAATCCTTATCCGCCTAAAAGGAAAATGATTTATTGTTGATGGTTTCCTTATTTTTTTTAGTGATGCTGGAAAAATTGGCTACACATATTGTCATCTTCAGTCCTGTGACAAGAGAAGCAGTCATCTTTGTAAAATGGTTTTCATTCTGCCATCATTTTGTGTCTCCCTTTCCCCAATTCTTAGGATCATGCATATACTCAACAATCGGCAAAGGTAGTTTTGTCGATGACATAACAATCAGCATTTCTATCCAACAAATATCAGTCTTTGATTGGTAGCCTCTACCACTGAACCGTGCGTAAGAAAGTGAAAGAAAAATGAGCATTTGTCTTAAGACATAAACTAGTGTCGTACAAGCTGCGTGAGCATGCATTTCATGTGTTTGTGTGTGTGCGCATGTGTGTGTGTGTGTGAGAGAGAGAGAGAGAGAGAGAGGTACCAGTAATTTACAATCATCATTCTTAACACAATTTATGAAAAGCGGCAGCATATTCAGGAATGTAATTCACCACTATCAGAAACAACAACTTCGCTTCTGGGATCCCCACTCTGTCTGCCCTCAGCTTCAATCTTGGAGACAACATCCATCCCAGAAAGCACTTTCCCAAACACAACATGATGCCCATCCAACCTGTACCCAAAATAAATAAAAATAAAAAACTGAAATTCAATGCAGTAGTTAAAAAATCTGCCAGGCCACAAACTATAGACTTTAGTACCAGTAAATGCGCTATATTGATCAACCAGTAGTGCAGAATCTACACACTGTACCCTTGTTTATGAACATACTACCTATCCAGCCTACTTGCTGGTGTTTTCAATGAAATATTTTCCCATTAGCCATAAGAGTGCAAATTGACATATTTTAAAATACAAAAGATGTGGCAAAGGATACAAAACCACCAACAATTTTTCGAGAATTAGTTGGAGAAGAACATGCTGCGTATTATTTTCCTAACAATGTTTCATTCATCCATTGTTGAGAGTTTTGACAATGCTTCTACCAACCATATTAGAGATGTTGCTTGAATTATATCACTTTGTATTTCCAATTTTTCTAGACAACACCAAATTTGACAAAATACTCAGATATGCTCCACTAATATTACTGCAAAATTACATTGATATGAATCTCTTTACATAAATAAGCTACAAGTTAAAGTTATTTGGAAACATTTTTGAAACCTGTTGTATCTGAAAATTCCTCTGAATCCTCCTTTCAGCAGATAAGCCATTCAAGTCTCACAAGTTGTAATTTATTATTTAATTTCCAACAAGGGAAAATAAGTTTGTCTAACTTATTTAATTTCCTGTCCCCAAGAGGCATACTGGACGGATGTGGAAACTATGGAAGTAATGACCTATAAAAGCGAATTTGGCAATCTATCATAAATTAAAGTTTTCCCAAGCTTTAGCAACAAGGCAATAGCAAAATCACTTACTATACGAGACAGTTTAATCTACGAGGGATGTTTCCCCAGGATTGGTGACAGATGTAAGATTTGGGGCTTAACACGTCTCCGGTAGGGAACTCGATGTCTTACAAGCTCTATAGTGCCTTCTAAATGTGAAATTTCCGACAATATTTCTCACAACTCAACTGATTGGAGGCTATTTCTCAACTGATTGGAGGCCTTCTGAATACTGATAAATCAAATAGCCTCTAAACCTCAAAATCTAAATGAATCCACACCCAAAAAAATGTGAAGACCACCTATACTTGTTATACTTGTTGAATTAAAACCATATACATGCTATGTAGACACACATGGCAAAGGCTAACAGCAAGCAAGATACAGGTTAAGAAACATAAGTGTTAGTTTCAAGAAATATTGAAGTGGTGATTTATTCTCATATGGCAGAAATTATCATATGGGTCCGGAACACCACATGGTTGTGTCTGACCAATGGTATTTTATGATTTCTCCATAGTTTCCCTATTTTTTGGGGGGATATGTAAGTACATAGATAGCCCCCTACTATTGGGCAGGTTAAATTGGATGAATTTATGATCGGCTAGAATTAAGAGAAGAGGTCTATACAATTCAAATACACAAAGATGAATACAGCTTTAGAAGGATGTCAAGATGAGCATTAAAACAAGGAATGATAATATCCATAACGAGCATGTCCAAGGGAAATTGGTCACATAGTGTGTGTATGCACGCGCACTGCTCACATAATGTAAAGAGTGTGGAAATTGGTCGTTTTGCCTTATTAGATGAGACAAAACAAAAACAGTGAAATCATCAATATAACCCTCAATAATGTAGAGACTAACTAAATTACAAATTTTTCTGACATAATATCCAAAAAAATTGTATGTATTTCTAGTAAATCAAACACAACGGACAAAAGTTTGTTATGGCCAATGCTAAAGTAAAAACAAAAGACAACATTTTGCATCCAAAATATTATGAAAACCACTTCAAAGTTCATTTCCATGACTTTAGTGCAAGAATAAAGTGAGTACCAACGTGAAACAAAATTTGGAATATAAATATTAAATACAGCATACATATATGTAAAAATACCTAAGCCATGACAGAGCAAAACGGGCAAGGATGCTGCACGCCCTGCCGCATCATTTGACCCTTCCAACTGGTTCTTCAAAGTCCTAGAAAACAAATAAGTAATAGCTGCTGAGTTGAATAAATTGCTTAACCACGTAATTCTAGCTGTCAATCCATAATTAGTACTTTTCTACATCTGAATTGACAAACTCAGAACTAGATAAATGATAAATACATACCATTTGGTATATCATTAAGCTGTGTGCCTTGACCCTGCATATTTACAAAACACAATGTGAGAAAATTCACAATTACTAAGGGGGAAAAAAAAGTATAGCATAAATTTACTGTCAACACCTTCTCAATGGACAATGCTTTGCTTGCACTTCTCCCAGTCGAAGGCTCCGAATACCGCTCGACAGTCTTCCTCTCCCTGATTAACCTCTCAATTGGCGTAACAGGCTCTTTCGAGCCGGGCTCACTCTTCGCCGCCTTCTCATCTTTTGCAGCTTTCTTCGAACTACCCTTTCGGCCTCTCTTCGCCTTCTTGCTTACCTCCTCTGCTTCCTCCTTACTCTCTTCACCTTTCACCTCAGGTTCTTCCTTCTCCTCCTCTTCTTCTTCCTTCTCCGCCATTTCCGTATTCTCTTCTTTCTTTTCCACTTCCTTCTCTTCTTCACCCTCCTCTGTTTTCCCTTCTTCTTTCACTTCACCTTTGTCTTCGACGTTAGCTATTTCTTCTTGTTTCTTGTCTTCTAGGGTTTCAAACGCCATCGAAATGAACTTCCAGAAAAGAGAGAGAAAGAGAGAGAGAGAGGGTGTGCTGTATGTATATGTATATAGAGAGATCAAAAAAGAACCTAACAGATCAATTCAACAATTCAACAAATATTGATGTATACAAGTATACAAATGTTATACATGCAGTAAAATTTGAAAGAAATAGAGAGAGAGAGAGTATCGATTAAAGTTCAGTAAATGAGGATCAAGTCAGAATGCCTCTCTCTGAATCTCTGCAAATGAGGTTCAAGTAAGAATGCCTTCAAAACATTGATTTCATAGATCTAGAGAGAGAGAGAGAGAGACGGTGGAGCTGGCTACCTCGCCGGTGCAGATGACGGTGGCGATGGAGCTTCGAAATCGCTCTGAATCTCGAAATCCATCTGAATCTTCGAAATCGCTTTGAAATCGCTCTGAATCTTTGAAATCGCAGGTGCAGATGGAGCTTCGATGAAGAAATGTGTGCGTATAAGGATTGAGAGAGAGAGAGATGTGTGCGTATTCAAGCTTCAAGAACAGCCGATTGATCTCCTCCGTCTTCTTCGTCACTAAGAGAGAGAGAGAGAGATGTGCGCGAAATTGCTATTACACTTTGCACTCAGATTAAAAAATAAGGGTTTCATAAAGGGGCGCGTGTAGCTACAGCATTCGGAGGCGCTTTCAATTAGAAACTGTGTCGTTTTGGTTTTAAAAAATATGCGACGGTTACAAAACGCCGTTAAAAATTAGCAAACGTGACGTTTAATAAAACGCCGTTAATTAAACGCCGTTAATTGTCTTATTTCCTGTAGTGAATATCAACTATTAATGTTTTTGGTTCACCTTATGGCAAGACTTTTTTATTTCTTTTAGTTTATTTGATGCCGAGATATATTTGCTTATGCCTCACTTATTTATGACTTTATTTTTTTAATATGACTTTCTTACCAAAATATGACTTCTTTTTTTTTTTAATACCATAAATGTCATTGGGGCAAATTTGTGCATGTAAAAATAGCCCCACTGTATAAGCGCCCCACCCAAAGTTTCTTCCCCCACCCTTAAACCCATTAAAATTTTAATTTTACGAAATTAAGATAAATATTGTTTTATAATAAAATTTCAACAATACCACAAAATACATAAAAATACATAATTTCATTTATGAACTATACATAGTCGTAATCCCTATCAAAAAAATACGTAATATTTATCATAAAAATACGTAATATACACTACAAAAACACATAACAAAATACATATGGTACACACTTTTCATAAAATTTCCCATAATCTTATATCTTTATCTTTCCCACCGAAGAAAGTAAAAGCAACATGTATTTTTTTCTTTGTCATACATATAAAAATCTTTAATAAAAGTTATAGGGTAAATTACACTCATTTCTATTGAGGTTTAAAAAAAATAATTAGTCTCATATATTTTTTTATTATATAATTATACTAAATTTCTTCGAGATTTTAATTTATATAACACTTGTATCCTTTTTATTAGCAACTTGTGAGTCATATAAATGTAAAAATAATATTGTCGTGTCTATCCTATTAAAATGTATATTTATCTCTTTTATATATATATATATATATATATGTACCTATTATTTATATTAATTTTGATCACTTTATCTCGTTTACCTATTATTTACATTAATTTTGATCACTTTATCCTTATCAAAAAGAATATTACTGTAATTATGTTAATTTTGTAAACTAACTATATTTTTTTCAAATTTTAAGAAAAGTGAGTATAATTTACACAAAATTATAATATAATTTATTAATATATATATTTATATAAATTGACAAACGGCTCAATTAAAATTTTTGCGATAGAACCTAAATAGAGTCAAGCTGCCTCCATGTAATTAGGATATCCTTACAAAAGTTTTTGCGGATTTGGTCAAAACTCCCTCATAATAAAATTTTAATGCATTTAGGACACGCATAAAAAGTTTACCTTGAAAAATTCATGTTACTCTGTTTGACAATAACATGTTACTCTGTCTCACAGTAACATGTTACTCTGTTTGATAGTTACTCTGTTTGACAGTAACATATTACTTTGGTTCACATAACATGTTACTCTAGCAATATTGTCCAAGAAAAAAAAAAGATATTTAACTTTGTCTTTACTTAATTATGTGTTTTTTCCTTAGGGGGTTTATGAAGAAACATAAATTGGGCTGTCCTTTTCACCAGATAATGGTCCGATGGAGGGGTTTTGGCCAAATTTTCAAAAGTTTTTTGTAGCTCATTATTACCCTTATTTCAAAGTTTAATGAGAAAAATGGGTTAGAAGGATGTCATTGTCTATGTGAGCTATACTTTTTTGGTGATATGTAGCATAGGTTAGTAAACAAGTCGAGTCAAGCCGAATTTTAGTATATATGGATTTGTTTATTAAAATTTTAATAAATTCGAGTTTGAACTCGAGCGCAACAAACATTTAACGAACTGAACTTGAGCCCAATTGACTTAGACTTGATCGGAGTTTAAACTCGTTCACATGTTTTAACGAGATTAAAAAAATTAAATTAAATTCATGCGTATGAGACTAAAGTTACAATTGAAACTTGAATTATTCCATTATATATACAAACATACTAAAAGAAAAGTTAATATTTTACTAAACTAATAATATCTACTACTACTATTATATAAATGTATTATCTATCATTAACTATTATTTACGTTTACATTTTTTAAATATATATGAATAACATATTTATCTTATTTTTTATACATATTTTTACATTATTAATATATTAATATTAAATATTAAATAAGCCAACTAATGAGCCAAGTTTTAATATATTTGGATTTGTTTACTAAGAAAGAACAAGTTCGAACTCAAACACAAAAAATAATAATAATAATAATTTAACAAACCGAGTTCGAACGAGTCCTTATTGAACTGAGTTCGAGTCTATTCACAATCAATTCTATTCATTTGCAGCACTAATATAGCATAATTAGAAATTTGATTTAGTAGTGTGATTCAGTGTCTTAATTTGAATCAAGACACTAATTTATAATCGGTTGAGAAGAGAGAATGAAAAAAAAAATTAATAAGCCTTCGTGTTAAAATATTAAAAGAAAAATTATAAACATATAAAACTTCATATTTAAAAAAAGGTTTAAAAAAAAAAGTAACGATGTACAAGTAAAATTTTATATAAAATTACGTGACTTATTATTATCTTTAATTTTCAATCAAAATAGTCACCATTGCCCTTGTAATTCAAAACTATATTTCGAATAATTTTTTTATATAAATTTTTTGTTTGCAAAACATTTTAACACCATATATTTATTTTTAACAATTTTAATAGTGTCAATTTATAAAAGTTTCCTAAAAAATTTACATGATACAATTTATTTAAAAAAAAAAAAAAATTAATGAGTGGGTTGAATTGGACCCCCTAAACACCATTTAGCTCCGCCCATGTGGGCCTACAAAATTTAACATATAGGCAATTGTGCATGGTACAAAAAAATGTGTACAAGAGTAGTAGTTTTTATATAAGGATAGGATATATATCATGTAATAATTCTTTTTTATTGTGATTAGTTTTGATGGTAGAATCTACTATATTTATGTTAGACGTTTGAAAAATAATAGAATATATACATTTGTGATTGGTAAAAAATAGTGTTACGTGATGCCCTATTAACATATAAAAATTTATCATATAAGAGAGAATAGGAGAAAAATCATAAATGGCTGACTTTTAATCTTTCATATATGAGAACTTTGGTTATATGACCCTCCTTATAAGGTTTTATTATCAAAATGATAAGTTTATATAAGTTTTGTTTCTACAAGGACATAGATCTAAGGAGCACACAATCTGTAATTTATTTATGAAAATATTTTTAATTAATTTTGTAAGTTTAAAATTGTGTAATTTTTTAGATTGATGTTTATTTTTGTAAATTTTGTATTTTTTAAATCCTCTTCGAAAGATAAATAACAAAAAAATCCATGTTAACTATTAAATTTTGAAGAAAAAAAATACGCTGGTGAAATTTAATTATCCAACTTAACATATTAAAATTTCACAATGTTGTTAGTTTGGTTAGTGAAAGTCCATCACTCCCACTACAAAATGATCCCAACTTCTAATTTTCCATATCAAATTTATTATTATTTTTAAATATAAACATCGAATAAACAAGACTCAAAAGTAATTAAAAGAAATTCAACTTGTTCTAAAAATCAGTACAATAAATATCGATTGACATTCCTAAATATATTTCTAAGGTGCATATGAAAAAAAATTCAAAAATTCAATTCTATATTGAGTAAATAAAAATATTCATATAATAAAATTTCACTAATTAAATATAAAAGTATCTTCACTAACCTTCAACTTGCTTAAAGATGATTAAAATAATTTTGAAGTTCCTAAATATATGTCTAATATGTATACCAAATAGTTTTAGAAAATTCAATTCAGTTGATTAGATAATAAAAAATAAAAATAAAAATAAAAAAATAGAATGGTGGAATTTTCACTTTGTTTTTTAACAAAACATAATTCGGGAAAAAATCTTTGCAAAAGGGAAATAGGATGGATATACACACATACTCTCCCTTCATTTGTTGCATAAATTGGTAATTTGCTAAATGTGTTATTTATAGGATATTGTCAATTATACTAATTACAATTGCCTCTCCAAAACAATTTTCTTTAAGGTGTGCTATGTCAGAAATTCTTTTGAATACGTTATTAAGGTTACACATCAAAAATTGTCAAAATCTATCTCAATAGTTATCATTTATATCTATATCAATAACTACGATTATGTCAATTACAAAAGTCGTATGAAATTGCTCAAAAAATACAATATTATAATTATTGTGAAAAATAAATCATAATCAAATTACTCACTAATATAATATATTCAAATTGGATTTATCACCTAATATTTTCAGTGATTTTCATGCATTGCACAAGTAAAAAAATTGTAATTTTAGTATTTATATATTCAAATGAATTTTGTGGAGATACGGAAAAAAACAAAACCAAAAAAAAAAGACATATATATATTATTGGGTAAAATTCAATTGTGATATTTACCATCCCTCTCTAACTTTTAGTAAAGGGAGAGATCCAC